TATCAGAGAAATGCAAATCAAAACCACAATGAGGTACCATTATACACCAGTCAGGATGGCTGCTATCCAAAAGTCTACAAGCAATAAATGCTGGAGAGGGTGTGGAGAAAAGGGAACCCTCTTACACTGTTGGTGGGAATGCAAACTAGTACAGCCACTATGGAAAACAGTGTGGAGATTTCTTAAAAAGCTGGAAATAGAACTGCCATATGACCCAGCAATCCCACTTCTGGGCATACACACCAAGGAAACCAGATCTGAAAGAGACACGTGCACCCCAATGTTCATCGCAGCACTGTTTATAATAGCCAGGACATGGAAGCAACCTAGATGCCCATCAGCAGACGAATGGATGAGGAAGCTGTGGTACATATACACCATGGAATATTACTCAGCCATTAAAAAGAATTCATTTGAATCAGTTCTAATGAGATGGATGAAACTGGAGCCCATTATACAGAGTGAAGTAAGCCAGAAAGATAAAGACCATTACAGTATACTAACACATATATATGGAATTTAGAAAGATGGTAACGATAACCCTATATGCAAAACAGAAAAAGAGACTCAGATGTATAGAACAGACTTGTGGACTCTGGGAGAAGGCGAGGGTGGGATGTTTCAAGAGAACAGCATTGAAACATGTATATTATCTAGGGTGAAACAGATCACCAGCCCAGGTTGGGTGCATGAGACAAGTGCTCGGGCCTGGTGCACTGGGAAGACCCAGAGGGATCGGGTGGAGAGGGAGGTGGGAGGGGGGACCGGGATGGGGAATACATGTAAATCCATGGCTAATTCATTTCAATGTATGACAAAAACCACTGCAATGATGTAAAGTAATTAGCCTCCAACTAATAAAAATAAATGAAAAAAAAAAAAGAAAAAGAAAAGTGAAAGAGAAAAAAAAATTTGTGGAATTAAAAAAAAAGAACTTATGGTATTGGAGTTTCTGATGTGCACTCTCAGAGAAAGAAATGGAATTATTGGCAGCACTGTTCAAAAAGATAAATGTGCCGAACATTCCTTTTGTTCAATGGTGTTTATAAAATTCCTAAATCAGTATTTATGTAATTACTGGTTAACTGACAATCTCCCAAATAAAAGGTAAGTTCTGTGAGGGCAAGAGCTTTGTCCTTACTCATGCTCTTGCACTTTTTTCCCATTGGGGGAGATAGAGACATTTAAGAAAATAAAATGAAAGAAAAATCAATTGTGGTCTTAATCACAATTGCATTAAGTTTTTAAAGGAGAAGACCAGATCAGACCAGCTCAGAGAGGACTTCTGCAAGAAAGAGAGGATTGAGCTAAAATGTGAAACACATGCAAGGGAGGAGGAAGCAAAGGAGCTTTGCGTGCAGAGGGATGAGCCAAGGCCCTGAGGTGGCTGAGTCCAGAGCACTGGAAAGAAAGAAAGAAGGTCAAGAGTGAGGCTGGTGAAGGGCACCAGGAGCATAAAGTGGGGCTGGACGTACAGATAGGAAATAGATGACGCAGACCTCTACAGGCCAAGGAGTTTGGTCTTCCTGTTGGTGCAATGAATAGCCATTGAAGGGTTTAAGCAAAAGAACAACAGGGTAAGAGCTGCAGTATTAGAAGAGATTTTGTCAACACTGAGTGGATTAGAGGGGATAAAAGAAATGTGGGGGAAATAATTAGGAGGTTGTTGCAGTGATATCCAACAGACAATAATAGTCTGGACTAGAATGACAGAGATGGGAAGAAATAGACTCAGATCTGTGCCGGAAGGAAAGTCAATAGGACTTGTCATTATTTAAATGCAGTGGATAAGGAAAGACAGCATAAGAGTAACTACCTGGTTTCTAGGTGTGGCAGCTGCTGGAAAAGCTACTCACTGAGAAGGAGGTCCACGTTTGGTAAGAAAGACCATGGGTTGTATGGACAGAAGCTGAAATTAGCATCCACTAACATTGAGGGCTGTGCCAAGCTGGGTCAATGCTATGCTTTAAATGGATCATCTAATTCATCCTAACTGCCATCCTATAGAAAAGGTGCTACTGCTCCCATTTTTAGAGATGAGAAAACTGAGATTTGGAAAGGCTTAGTAACTTATCGCCATTCTCAGAGCTAAAAATTGACTGAGCTGGGATGTGAACCTGGATTTCCTTGGTTCTAAGGCAGATGGTTCTTAGTTACCAGCCCATACTGCTTCATGACAACTGAGGTCTACTTAGGAAAAATTTCATGGTTTCAAAAGGGCAAGATACTTACCCTAGAACTCTGAAGCCAAACCTTCCTAGAAAACCTTCAGTTTTCCTCTCCAGGCCTCCCAGAACAACTGTCCACATCAGCAAGATAATTCTACACTTTCTCCCATCCTTCACTGCCCACCAACTCAGGCTTTTGGCCAAACTTCAAGGTTACCTCCAGTTGCCCTGATCTCCTCAACTTTGCCTTCTCCAAAATACTATAATATTTTCAGTCTCACCACTTACTTTGGCAACAATCACATGTGGGCTACCCTGCAGGATGTCCATATATTCTCAACTTCCTCACATTTTATTTTTCCTATTGTGGATTTTCTTTCTTTCTTTCTTTTTTACAGTATATACTGACTATCTTGTAAAGCCTTTCAAGCACTGAAGTCAGATTGTTGTAAATAAGCTAATAAACACAAATTTCAAACTGTGACACTCTGGTTCTGGCTGCCAACCAACAGCTCTGTTTTACCAATGTTATTATCTCTAGTTGTGGAATGGAATCTCATTATACATTGCATTTAAATTACACACATTCATCTATATATTCTTGGCAGAGCAAGAAACAGAGAACATGCACATTTTAAACAGAGCAGGCCATTATGCCTGCCATTCTAATCCATAAGCATGTGTCCCATCAAACAGGAGATGAATGAACTGACTTGAGTCCCTAAGGATCTTTTCCAGTATGAGTAATTATCTGGACAAACTCTGATTTTAGTGTATAAAGGTACATATTTTAGATAAAACACAACCTCTAATTTTAAGTCAATTATTCTTCCTATTCCTCTATTAAGGAACCTATCCCAAGATTAGTGGGAAAGTTGGGTCTCCTGGACTAATCAAGAGATAGTAAGAGATTGTCCCTAGCAATTCTGATAACACAAGACTTTTACACCACATTTTCTTTTGGGATCTACCCCTAAGATATGACTACAGTGATGGCAGTATATGTTCGGTTAATCATCTGACTTTTAAATTGTATTCTCCCTTTATTATTGAAAATAAATAAGCATGAACTGGAAAATGAAAGTGCTGATACAACTGATAAACATGTGCCTCCAACAAATGAGGCAAAGACGGAAATCATTAGGCCTCCTGAAGTCAAATGTGAAAAAAAAAAAAGAACCCAGCTATGCAAGAGGAATGAAATTCTAACTTGGGTCCAAAAAGCCAACAATTATTAGGGATTTTATAATCACCTTTGATTTTTTTGGAAAAGAGCCTCCCCAGTCACAGGCACAAATCTAAATACGCACATAAAATTATGATACAGGTGCATTATCAGAAGGTCGTGTTCAAACAGAACACTATCACTCTGAACTACCCTGCTGCCTACTGGGCAGATAGATTAATTCTTGCTTCTCAGCATCCTCAGAATTTTCTTTGTGCCATCAGCATACAATTTCAGGCTTACCTATGGGAAACATGGTTGCTAGTACCTGTCACTATTTAGACTGTAAGCTCCTTGCAGGTAGCTTCTAGGCCTTACTCATCTCTGTATCTGCAGTGCCTTAGAGAATGCCTGACTAAAAGAGGGTGCTGTACAAAAGCCAGAGAGTGAATAAATAAGTGAACAGCCAGATTTACCTCTCTGAGATTCATTTCCTCTTATGAATCAGAGAAGGAAAAAGACACAGCCCAGTGGGCATCAGGCTGTTGTCTCCAGCATGGAGCTACACTTTGTACATGGCGCTGGCCTTACCTATCCAGAGAAATGCAGCACAGGTGAAAAATCGATGCTGTTGTGAGCAGGACATCCAGAGATGTCCGGACAAGGCAGAACATCTCCCCATAAATCCAGATGTCTTGAACCAGCTCAATGGCACCGAAGGGCATCACGAGCACTGACACCAGCAGATCCACAAAGGCGAGAGACACAATGAAATAATTGGTTTTTATTTTCCTGTGGGTGAAAAAGTGTAAGGGAGGAGGTAGTGGGAAAGACGGAGGAAAGAGGTTAGGGGGAAAGGAGCAGGGGAGAAAAGATAGGGAAAGGGAAGCAAAGAAATAAGGGAAGAAGGGAGGAAAGAAAAGGAGAGAAAAGTCAGATGTGCAACATACTCTGTGAGATTCAGTTTCCCCTTCTGTCTTGTGTGCGATCCAGTCACTTTGGACTTCTCCAGACCCCTGGCACCATAAATCCTCTCTTGCCTTCATCTGTAAGCACACTGGCCTGACTTGAGCCCCTAAAAAAAAAAGAACCCAGCTATGCAAGAGGAATGAAATTCTAACTTGGGTCCAAAAAGCCAACAATTATTAGGGATTTTATAATCACCTTTGATTTTTTTGGAAAAGAGCCTCCCTAGTCACAGGCACAAATCTAAATACGCACATAAAATTATGATACAGGTGCATTATCAGAAGGTCGTGTTCAAACAGAACACTATCACTCTGAACTACCCTGCTGCCTACTGGGCAGATAGATTAATTCTTGCTTCTCAGCATCCTCAGAATTTTCTTTGTGCCATCAGCATACAATTTCAGGCTTACCTATGGGAAACATGGTTGCTAGTACCTGTCACTATTTAGACTGTAAGCTCCTTGCAGGTAGCTTCTAGGCCTTACTCATCTCTGTATCTGCAGTGCCTTAGAGAATGCCTGACTAAAAGAGGGTGCTGTACAAAAGCCAGAGAGTGAATAAATAAGTGAACAGCCAGATTTACCTCTCTGAGATTCATTTCCTCTTATGAATCAGAGAAGGAAAAAGACACAGCCCAGTGGGCATCAGGCTGTTGTCTCCAGCATGGAGCTACACTTTGTACATGGCGCTGGCCTTACCTATCCAGAGAAATGCAGCACAGGTGAAAAATCGATGCTGTTGTGAGCAGGACATCCAGAGATGTCCGGACAAGGCAGAACATCTCCCCATAAATCCAGATGTCTTGAACCAGCTCAATGGCACCGAAGGGCATCACGAGCACTGACACCAGCAGATCCACAAAGGCGAGAGACACAATGAAATAATTGGTTTTTATTTTCCTGTGGGTGAAAAAGTGTAAGGGAGGAGGTAGTGGGAAAGACGGAGGAAAGAGGTTAGGGGGAAAGGAGCAGGGGAGAAAAGATAGGGAAAGGGAAGCAAAGAAATAAGGGAAGAAGGGAGGAAAGAAAAGGAGAGAAAAGTCAGATGTGCAACATACTCTGTGAGATTCAGTTCCCCCTTCTGTCTTGTGTGTGATCCAGTCACTTTGGACTTCTCCAGACCCCTGGCACCATAAATCCTCTCTTGCCCTCATCTGTAAGCACACTGGCCTGACTTGAGCCCCCCATACACAGAGACCATCCCGAGGGTCTTTATGGAGTGTTCTCTCTCCCTACTGTTGGCCTAGCTATATCCTACCAACTCGTTGGGCCTTGGTTTAGTCATTCCCAGGAAACCCTCCCAAGGTGCACCCGCCCCCCTACAAATGGTGTCAAATTCCACCATTTTCCACTTTTAGACTGACTACCATGTGCCTCACATTTGTCACAGTGGTTAGAATTTTGTTTTTATGCTTTCTTGATTAGAGCATGTCTTGCTTTAAGAGGAAGATAGCAGCAGATGGGACAGAACTGAACCTTTCGTCCCCTTTTGTGGCCTGGTGGATCTTAATCTAGACTGCACAATAGAATCACCTAGTAAATGTGTCTAAATATCAATGCCCAGGTCTTGCCCTGGATCTATTAGTTCAGGAATTCTGTGTGATGAACCCACTTACCCATCCCTAATCTCGCCAAATAAAATATACGGCACTCAGTTAAATGTGAACCTCAGATACACAACAAATAATTTTCCAATATAAGTGTACTCCAGATATCACATGAGACACACTCCTGCAGTACATTAGTAATTTTATAAGGGTCTTTAGGTGATTCTAATTGCAGCCAAGGATGAAGTGGAAAGAGCAGAAGACCGAGGTTTAAATCCTAGATCAGCCACTAGTCAGCTGTGCTTTGGGGGCTCCCCTAGTGGCTTAGATGGTAAAGAATCTGCCTGCAATGCAGGAGAGCCAGGTTCAATCGCTGATAAGGAAGAGCCCCTGGAGAAGGGAATGGCAACCCACTCCAGTATTCTAGCCTTGAGAATCCCATGGACAGAGGCACCTGGTGGGTTATAGTCCATGAGGTCGCAAAGAATTGGACATGGCTGAATGACTAAGCACACATCCAGCTATCATTTCTTTGAATCAGTTAATAAAGTGAGGAGGTTAGATATGCTCTCAGCCATTTCATATATAGTGATCACAACTATTATAGAAAAAACAACACAGGAAACAAGTCAGGATGGAAATGCACTTACATGCTTATACTTGTTATGTTAGAACTATGAGATTATATGTGATTTTTTTTCCCCTGCATCATTTTCCAAACATCATTGCCATGTATCTTTTTCCCTTCATAGCTATAAATTCTAGCGGAAATTATAAATTCAGACTCCAGTTCTCCAGGGAGAGCCTGGAACTCCACCCAGGTTTTCTCATGAGGTTGCCTCACGTGACTCACCTGAGCTGCCTGTCCCTGCACACGGCCACCATCACCAGCAGGTTCCCCAAGATAGCCATCAGGATAACTGCCGAGAGAAACGTGAGCAGCACGACCTTCTCCACTGACCCGAAACCCTCCTTGGAACTGGAAGACACACAAACACGAAGAACTGAAGAAAACTCTTGAGACATAAGAAAGAAAATTAGTTTTTTCCTTCATTCATTTTCAGAAAGGTAACTTCACTGTCGAAGCTGCAAACACACATTTCTTGTACACCTAATATATGCCAAGGTTTGCACTTGTCACTTTACATGTTATTCTGGTTAACTCCTACATAACGAGAAGGAGGAGGCTCAGAGAGGTAGATTAACTACCCTGAGATTGCACAGTGATTCTCTATCAGAGAACTTGAGGCTTTCCTTCAGAGCACTGAGCTTAGCTTGTGCTCAGAAAGCTTATTTGGTTGATTCTTGTTTGGCACACCAACACAGCTAGGTTGTAAGCTCCATGAGGCAGGGACATTGCCTGTTTTCTCCATTGACAAATTCAGTTTCAATACATCATTCATATTTAGTGAATGAAGGAAAAATGGCATGAAATGAGCAAATGAAGGTAACCTGAACCAGTATCTTTGTGAACACAAAGGCCATCTGTGTTCAGTATCTCATCCCAGTCCACACAGAAGCTGCTGTGTGCAAGTGGGCTGTCCAAGGACTAGGTCACGGTTTGAAGGTTGTTTGTTCCTAAATGGCTGACTTGGACAAACTGTTCTTGGATTATGTGAAACCCACTGGAAATACAGAATCCATCAATAAACTCAGGGATTCCTTTCACTGCCTTGAACTACATTTCTTTTGGTGCCCAATACAACAGCTCAAATTTGTGTGTTTGTGAGTTTTAGCAACCAATTTCTTTCTATAAATCCTGCCCTCCTAATGTCAACTCATTTTGTCTTGCTAACTTGGAAGTGAGTGTCCCCTGTCAATAAAAGCACAAAAAATGCAGATTATTCAGAAGCTACAGGAAAATATTTGTTTTTTAATGTGTTTTTTAAAATGTTCTTTTAAATGAAGTTTCAAAGGATCTTAAAACTTTTAGACCCAAACACACATTTCAATATGGAGAAACTAAGACCCAGTGAGAAGAATTAGGTTGCCAGAGTGTGTTAGCATCTAGACTGGGAGAAGCTGCTTGCTCTTTAGGCCACCGCTGGGTACTCAGGCAAGAGTGAACATCGACATTTTTGGAATCAGTGAACTAAAATGGACTAGAATGGGTGAATTTAATTCAGATGACCATTATATCTACTACTATGGGCAAGAATCCTTTAGAAGAAATGGAGTAACCCTCATAGTCAACAAAAAGAGTCCAAAACACAGTACTTGGATACAATCCCCAAAACGACAGAATGATCTCTGCTCATTTACAAGGCAAACAATTCAATATCAGAGTAATATAAGTCTATGACCTGACCAGTAATGCTGAAGAAGCTGAAGTTGAATGGTTCTATGAAGACCTACAAGACCTTCTAGAACTAACACCCAAAAAAGATGTCCTTTTCATTATAGGGGACTGGAATGCAAAAGTACGAAGTCAAGAAATACCTGGAATAACAGGCAAATTTGGCCTTGGAGTACAGAATGAAGCAGGGCAAAGGCTAACAGAGTTTTGCTATGACTGCACTGGTCATAGCAAACACTCTCTTCCAGCAACACAAGAGAAGACTTTATACATGGACTTCACCAGATGGTCAATATTGAAATCAGATTCATTATATTCTTTGCAGCCAAAGATGGAGAAGCTCTATAGTCAGCAAAAACAAGACTCAGAGCTGACTCTGGCTCAGATCCTGAACTTCTTATTGCCAAATTCAGACTTAAATTGAAGAAGGTAGGAAAAATCACTAGACCATTCAGGTATGACCTAAATCAAATCCCTTATGATTACACAGTGGAAGTGAGAAATAGATTCAAGGGATTAGATCTGATAGA